CACGTGGGTTTCAGGTGTCATCACCGGGCTTGTTTCAAGATGTGAGGGAAGATTTCTGATAGTTTCTTAATTCTGCAATGTCACTCAATATCAGGTCATCCAGAAGACCGTGAGACATTTTTCTTTCCACGTCTGACAAAAGAAAACAACAATCTTGCCCAAAATAAAAGAAAACCCAGTTAAATCACTTAATTCACCAGTGATGGTTGTGATGCTTAACGCCTAGATGCCCTCGAGAAACTTGCTCTATTTTCTTAAGTACAGGTACCTATACAATACCCAGTTGTCCAGAGTACCCTCAGACATTCACCTTCACCTTGTCATGTTTGGCATAAGGAAAAATTTTGCACTGTTAATAAGCTCAAAAATTGAGCTGCTTCGTCCATGTCATCAGCGAAATGCCCGGCACCCCCCGGGTGTTTCCTTAATTTTTTTTCTTTTTTTTTTTTGCTATATTACTAATTTTTTGGAGGACTATGAGAACATAAAGCATTCATTTCCTTATAATTGGCCACAGAAAAGCCTTAACCTTGCAAGTATTCTAAAAAAAAAAAAAAAAAAAATCAAAAAGGCAAGGCCATAGTCCTTGGGCACCTTCTGGTCACCAGGGATAGTGTGAGATCATTGAATGGGGTGGAGGTAGAGTTTATGATGTTACAGCAGTGTGTTCTTACTGTTTTTAGTCCTTGCACTGGAGTACCTTGAGCTGTCAATGATGGGGAGCTGATGAAAACAAAAATTTTTATTCATCATTTCACAAAGTTTTTATTTATCATTTCACCACTTATCAGCTTACTATCTGTTTGGGCAGTTGGTCTGTTCAGTGTAAGTAAACGAGGAAACCGGAGTGACCAGAGGAAACCTGTGATGTTTGGTAGATGACACTGGATAACACCCTTTATCATGTGTGTCCGGGCTCAGCAAAACTCAAACCTTTGACAAGATGGTGAGAAATAAGCATGTTACTGCTATACCACCACTACCCCTGTTAATGGAGATCAACAAGGACACACTGCTGCCATCCAAGTATTTTCTTTTGTTCCTAGCTGGCAGTGCCTATAGATATAGTACAGTACAATATTGGGAATACAGTACGTACTTCCAGTCTGTGATAGCAGGGACTCTTCATGATACTATACCTGTACGTATACCGCACACTTCCATCTTGGATCAAAATCAATCTTAAAGAAAGATCAGTGGTGTAATATGAATTACCATTAACCCTTAAATGATGGAAGCTTTTTACGTTGAGTACAGTATTTGCTTTGATGGGGAAAACAAGGGTTTTAAAAAATGGAGGAAAAAAACATTAATTTTCTTATAAAAATTACAAGCTTTGCTCACTGAATACAGTGGTGTAATCACATTTCCTGTACACCAAACAAGAGGTCTTAACAATGGGAGGGAAGATATTGTTGTGCAGGCTAATTAATCATTTAGCCTTGGAACAGTTTTTAATATTGATTGCAGCTACCTAGCTCACAGGCTGTGTGGCCATGATATTGCAATCTCCCAATTAGCAACCTTCACAGAGATACCATCTTCCAACTACACAATTCAAATTACAGAGCTTGTGCATGTGCACGTGTATTACATGACATCACCTGTGCTGATAGGCTGAATAAGAAGTAAACAATGTACAGTACAGTATATTCCCACAAAATTGTACCCCCTTTAAGTGAAATATACGTCAAAATAACTCAAAACCACAAATCTCTGGTGGAAATGCTAAAGAATAGATTATTCTTCCTACGAGTGTTCTCTTTTTCTATCTCCCTATATAGTATAAGAATCAATATAGAATTCCGTGCATGTCAATCAAGCAATCAGAGTGCCGTCACCATATCTGAGGGTTGGCAAACACAGTCCTCTAGTCTAAATGTTCTCAGGTTGTTTTTACCAAATCTCTAAGCCTAAGGATTTGTATCTCTCTAGGGACCCCATATTTAATCTCATTCATCCATCCCAGTCTTTGCCTTCCCCCTGGCCATCCTACCCTCAACTTTACCCATTAATATTTCTGTTATTATCCCCTCATCCCTAATTGTGTGACCAAAAGTATGCATGACAACTATAGAATATTAGTCACAGAGCCACTTTCTCCCCAAACCACTAATTTGGAGGTGTGGTTTCCCAGATTACTCCTGTACTACTTTATACATATGTTTTGGCAATAGTGGAGCAGACGGCTAACACTTGAAGGAGTTGTTCGATTACGTTCATTTTTTCCACACATGTTCTTTGGATGATAACCATAAAAACGATATGACAAGTATTTATATTAATTATAAGTATTTTTTTTTTTTTAGCTTTTCTCAGTGATCATAAATCACCTGTAGTGATCAGGGTATGAAGGATAAGGAAAATTACGGGGTAAAACACAGTGTAAAATTGATCATATGACACTAAATTGATGTCTGTGCTTTGTACGTGAAGAAATTAATTATTTACTGGGTAAAGGTGTAGATAACAGCTACCACCGGAAGTTGTTTGTTGATTTTCTTCATTTTTGCTCTACTAATTGTTTTGATGATTTTAAGTGTATTAAAAGAAACGACAACTTTCTATTATGATTTTTTTTTATATGACATAAAAACATAAGAAAATAAGGAGTCTGCAACAGGCCGGTTGGCCTGTGCATGGCAGCTCCTGTCGAGAGTTACTACCACTCTCTATCATCCATGAGTCTATCTAGCCTCCTTTAAAAACTTTTCAACATTCCAGCACTTACTACAAAGTTGCTAAGCTTGTTCCACTCGTCCACCACCCTATTTGAGAACCAGTTCCTTCCTATCTCCCTCCTAAACCTAAACTTATCCAACTTAAAGCCGTTGCTACGAGTCCTATCCTGCTCGGATATTATAAGAACTTTATCTATATCACCTTTATTGATTACTTTCACCCACTTATATACTTCTATCATATCTCCCCACACTCTTCGTCTTTCTAGGGCATGCAAGTTTAGTTTCTTTAACCTAACCTTGATATGGAAGTTTTCTAAGTCCCGGAATCATTTTCGTCATTCTTCGCTGCACCGACTCCAGTGAATTGATATCCATTCTATAATAAGGGCACCAAAACTGAACCGCATAATCGAGGTGCGGCCTGACTAGCGCAAGATATAGTTGCAATAAGACCTGTGCACTCTTATTACTTACTGTACACTTCTAGATATAAAACCTAATGCTCTATCCCACTTCATAATTCTCCTCCCGATGCCAATTTTTTTTCCTCGCTGAATCCCTCTTCAAGAGACGTATCCTATAAATGATGGTGAACGCTTCCACGAATTCCTCCTCCGCCATTGCTGATGTATATCAACCTCAATATTAATCTAAGTTGTTCAACACATAGATTAACACGATAATGCATAGAACCAAATAGAACCTGACCTAACATACCCAACCTATAGGTATGTTAGGTCAAGTTTTATTAGGTTCTATGCATTGTCGTTTCCATTTTTATGCTTAATATCATATTAGTGTGTAGAGAAAATTTCAACCAATTCGGACAATTCCTTCTGATGGTAGCCGTTATCTACACCCTTACCATTTACTGTAACACTCCTCTGAAAAATCTACTGTTACCGGTGCGTGTTGCCGTCTGTCTGTTTGTTTACAACCGACACGCTCAGATTCAGATTTGCCCCCGAGGGGGCTAGTTTATTGGGCACCCCCTTACATCCTGTGCAAGGTGAAGCGCAGAAGTGTTTACAGCGCCCAACAGGGAAGTATGAAAAGTTCATACTTGCCTTTATGACTCGTACATTAAGGGCGTAAAAGCCTGAAGGGTCATAGGTTCTGTCAAGTTACATAAAGTGAGAGAATGATGAGTGTGTGGGGGGAAAGTTCCCGGTACATTTTATCTGTTTATGGCAAAGAGTGGCAGGTCCCTAATAATGTCAAATGCCAGGCCTGTGACTAGGAGGAGGGATATCTGGTCTGGGAGGGAAGAGGTGTTGGTAACGGCTGGGGACCTATAGGAGGAGGTCATAGGGTAAGTGAGGATGTAGTGAGAGAGGGTGTGAGAGTCGGGTTGGCCCGACACTCCCAGTCTAATTGTATTTTTACGTCCACAATAATTTTAAATTACACCATGACGCTTCAACAAATTTGTTTTCATTGGTACCAGATATCAAAATATGTACTTTCTGTTTAATATGGCAGGGGTCCGCAGTGCAGCTGGGAAGTTAGGTAAGGTTAGGTAGATTTCTTTGGTTGGTTAGGTCAGGTTCTGTACCCAAGTGGCTAGTAAGCTGGGAAGTGGAAAGTGGAGAAAATTATAAAAGAAAGGGTAATTATTGACGACAACACCACCGCTGATTTTTCATAGAAAACAAATTTAAAAACACAGCAATTTCACGGTGTTTTATAGTACAGTAGACACTGCCATAGTTATGGCAAATGTGTTAAAAAAAACAAAATTTTAAAAGTTCAACTTAACCTAACCTAAATTAACAAAACCACAAACAAATATTATCATATCAGAACTCACTGATGAAAATATAACAATATAAACGTAAAAACAATTAACGCAATGGCAGTGTATTCGTCAATATTAGCCAAAAATTTAACATCTGAGGAAAAATTAATGAAATCAAACAACTTCTGGTGCTAGCCGTCTGCTCCAACTTTACCAATGCTTTTATTGGTCATGACTATTATCCACTACATGTATTACCCAAAAAATTAATCTGGTCTTGTCCAGTAACCAAAAAATTTTACCTGACTACACATTGCACTTATCCTGCCGCAGTACACCTCTGCTTCTCTCTACACCTGTACAGGTACAATCTGGCCAGAGTTTAACAAATATTAAAGTTATCTTGTGTAACTTATATTTTATATAATTGTGACCTTCCCTGTCCTTCAAACGTCATATTAAATCGATGTTTACACCAGCCGGCTGAGTAAACCACCAGAGATTATTTAACAGTATAAAGTCATCGTTGTAATAACTCCTACAGAGAGAAGCTCACAATACCCTAATGAGATTTTTACCTGGCTCTTGACGACACATTTTGAATGGAGGACTGGTTGTGCCTCAGCAGACCAAGAACTCTGGACCCTCTCACAGCCATGTTGGACCTGGCACTGGTGTAGCTGGCAGTGTTGGCAGTGGCAACTCAGCTGGCAGGTCTGTGGCAGGTGGATGCAGGGATCGGTACCTATTCAACGCTGTTCTATTTTCGTCTTTTTAAGAAGCAGAAAATCTTATTGTCGTGGCTTTATATGTTTCCTTTCTTGTTTATTCTTGGTGAGTAGATGGATGTTCTTTACCCTGTTCCTAATGTTAACACACATAAATGTACATGATCTGTCACCATTAAAGATGCCACACACCGCTATATGTCTATATTTTATTTATTTATCTTATCTGAAGATATAAACACTAGGGCCAATATTCATTTTTTCAATTACTATTTACACAGGGAGAAATTTAGTAATGAAGGATACCTTGATGGTGGTGTACATGATCAATACTGTACACGTGATCATCGACGGTAAGTGATGACGCAAGAGTTATCCTGAACTCTCATTGGCTGCTCGCTGATGCAGTTTATTGCTGCAATTGCACTCTATAGTGAATACGATACCGCAATGCAGTAACTTTCAGGCTTTGAGAAGTGTACCAGTATGGCTAAGAATACACGACATTCATTTATTCTAAAATAAATTGTTACTAAAATAGTAAATGAAATGACTACAACCCTTCCTCAGTCAAGGGCCGCATTACGATTGAGGTATTTTTCTGCGGGCCAACCATCAAGATTTATCTCCTACCTAACCCAAAAGTAATATTAATATTGTATTAGAACGGACAGTGAAACAGTTTATCGTCACGTCAGGGGCAGATCGAGGAATATCAAAGGGGGAAGGGGCAAGAAGTTGTGGGCGAGGGAACATGACGAGCACAACGAGCCTGTGGGGTTGTGGGGTTATGAGATATTGGTTCACACTCAGGATGGGATGGAGAAAGGAAACTCACAATGTGCTCTCTGTATACATGTTGTATTGGATGTACAATGCAGCTTGGTGCTGGGAAGTGGCAGCGTGGTTACAAGCGTGATGTAGAGAGAGATGGTTGGTGAGGATGCTCAGAGGAAGACACATTACAGAGGGGAGCAAACACCCAAGCCACTTGACCTCATCATAACAAACGAGGAGGGTATGGTGGCCAAACTGGAACACCTTGCCCCAGTCGGCACCAGTCACCATACAGTGTTGTCATTCAGATTTAACTGTTACCTAGTTCAAGATAAGGCCAGGCCAAGGTGCAAATATTACAAGGGAAATTACAATGGGATGAGGAAAGAGATGAGGGGTATCAACTGGCCTGACTTATTAAGGTACAAGAACGCAGACACTACGCTGAATATCATAACTAGTAAAATGACCCATTTGATCGATAAATATATACCCAAGACCAAACCCAGTGCTTCTAAGAATACGAGGGGATCACTACACATGAACCATGCGGCGGTCGACAAAATTAAGAAGAAAACCCAGAAATTCAAGACGTGGGTTGGGCTCAAACGATGAGCAAGACAGGAGGATGTATGCAAGAGCCAGAAACCAAGCAAACATAGAGTGTAGGAGGGCTGAAAAGGAGTTCCAGAGGCTGGTTGCACGCGAGGTCAAGTCAAACCCAAAGGCGTTTTACCGCTATGCAAAGTCGAAATTGAAAACGCGAGTAGGAGTATCAGACCTGAGGCTGGTGGATGGTAGTTACGCAGATTCTGACCAGGATAAAGCTGAGGCATTGAACAGCTTCTTTTCCTCAGTGTTCACAAGAGAGGATGCAACTAACCTTCCTGCGTTTGAGGACAGACGGTTCGACACAGCAGTGACCCACATTGTGTTCACAGAAGAGGGTATTAGAAATAAACTGTCCAGGTTAAAGGTCCATAAGAGTCCCGGACCTGACATGGTGCATCCTAGAGTGCTAAGAGAGCTGTGCAACGAGCTTGCAGAGCCCCTGAAGATCCTGTTTTGTAAATGCCTGGATGAACAAATGGTCCCCAGTGAATGGAACGTGGCTTATGTGAGTCCTATCTTCAAGAAGGGCGATAGTCACTCCACGAACAACTATAGACCGGTGAGCCTGACCAGCATAATATGTAAAGTATTTGAGAGTATTATCAGAGATGCCGCGATGGAACATCTACTATGAAACAACCTTGTAAAAGATTGCCAACACGGTTTTATGCCTGGGCGCTCTTGCTTAACACAATTGCTCAAGGTATTGAATATTTGGACCCATATTCTGGAACGGGGTGGTAATATCGACAATATTTACCTAGATTTTGCCAAAGCTTTCGACAGTGTACCCCACGAAAGGCTGAAAATCAAAATGGAAGGGTACGGAATTCGGGGAAATGTCCTAGCGTGGATAGAAGACTTTCTACATGACCGCAAGCAGTGTGTGGTGATTAATGGCACGAAATCGTCATCTGTACCTGTAACAAGTAGGGTACCACAGGGCAGTGTATTGGGCCCGCTGTTGTTTGTTTGTTTCATAAATGACATGCCTGACGTTGTACACTCCTCCATACAAATGTTTGCCGATGATGGCAAGTTATTTCGGGAAATTAAGAACCAAGCGGACTGTGAAGAGCTGCAGAAGGACCTCTGTGGGCTCCAGGAATGGTCGAAGGAATGGCTGCTGAGATTCAATGTCACGAAGTGTAAGAGGATGCACCTGGGGCGTACCAACGGTAAGGAGGCGTATCATATGTCCCAACGGGATGAAGAAAATGCACTAGTTGAGACTGTGTGTGAGAAGGACCTAGGTGTGTATGTTGACAATGAGCTGAAGTTCTCGGGCCATTGTGAGAAGAAGGTAAATCAGGCAAATAAATTATTGGGTCTTATAAGAAGGTCGTTCAGATATCTAGACGGTCCATCCCTCGTGACGATCTTCAGGAGTGAAGTGCTTCCCCATCTGGAGTACTGTCACCCCATCTGGTCCCCGAGATATGCTAGGGACTGTCAGTTGGTTGAAAATGTTCAAAGGAGGGCCACCAGACTGGTGCCTGCACTTCGGCACCTCAGCTACCCTGAGAGATTGGAGCGCCTGAACTTGCCTAGCTTATACTACAGACGGGCAAGGGGGACCTATTTGAGGTGTATAAGCATCTCAGGGGCACTACTCAGTTGAGTGTCCTTACTTGGAGCTGGCGGACGCTCGCCCCACAAGGGGTCACAGCTCAAGATTGAAGAAGCCGCAAGTCCAGAAAACCGTGAGGGCAAACTTTTTCGGCGTGAGGGTTGTAAACTCTTGGAACAATCTACCAGAGAGTGTTGTGACGGCACCGAGTGTGAGCTCTTTCAAGAGAAGACTTGACCAACACTGGAGCGGGTTCAGGTACATTCAGGAGCCGGTGCATGCCCAGTATTTGCCAACTGTGCATGACAGAGACGTGACCGATCGCCCGGGCGGCTAGCGAGCCGATCTTTTGGTGAAGAATATAAATGAAAAAGAGACGTGACCGATCGCCCAAGCGGCTAACAAGCCGATCAGTGGCTACGAGGATAAAAGTAAAAAGTAAGTAAAAAAGCTTGTGGGTCGCCATGCTCGCCAGTGGGAGCGAGGACCGCCAGGCAGGCGGAGGAGGAGGAGGTGTTGCTGGCTGGTTGGTGTAGGTAGAAAAGAGAGCTGGTTGGTGAGGATGCTCAGAGGAGGACAGCTTGTGGGTCGCGATGCTCGCCGGCGGGAGCGAGGGCCGCCAGGCAGCGGCGGAGGAGGAGGTGTAGCTTGCTGCGGCTGTAGCTAGAAGAAGAGACAGGTCACCACGGGGTCAGGTCTTTTATAGCGGAGGTAGGCGTGGGTACATAGTTGACCTCCGCTCCGTGGGTGGCGCTGGTTGACCTAGACCACGAGGCATACACTGGGGAATTCGCGGGGTCGGCTACTCAGCGACAAACAGCGTTTGTAGGGGAGAAATCCACTACAATACTCCCTCCTTCCCTCCAGGCGGTGTAGGAGACTTGTTGTCTGCAGGGGTGCATGGCACATGTGAGGCAGAACGGGCGGTGCATGCCAAATGTGAGCCATAACGGCGATGGCGTGGATGAGCCGGCCGCTAGAGGAAACAACTGTCTAGATACACAATATCTGTTGGAGTAGAGAGGGAGAAAAAGGGTGTATGGAGGCGATGAATGTTGTGCTTCCCTCACGGCAGGTACAGAGTCGTCAGATGCGCCTGCTGGGGTGTGTGTGGGCCTGGGTCAGGAGCAGGGGCTGCGTCAGCAGAAGCGGATGAGGCTCGTGACAGCAGCTGGGTCCACGACAGCAGCAGGGTGCAGGACAGTAGCAGGGAGGTACCTGAGGGAGAAAAGAGGGGTGTGTGGGTCCGCACTCAGGCGCATGGGCCGCGTCAGGAGCAGGGGCTGCATCAGGAGGAGCGGCAGGGGGTACTGCTGGGCCGGGGACGGCGTCTGAGGCAGGACGGGTGTGCTGGGGTCGGTAGGACGTGGTGCTTGGGGCAGGAAGAGGAGCTGGTGTCTGCTTAGAGAAGCAGTGCTGCCCTAGGGTGTCTAACCTACGGTGTAGAGACAGTAGTTGTAGAGCCGATGAGAGCTGCCTCTGCGTGGGTAAGCCAGTCTTCCATGTTGCTTGAAGACTGGGAGAGTGATCAGTTTCTCCTCCATCCTGTGTGAGTGCGAATCTCCGGGGGTCACCATTGGTAGGGGTATGAGATATTAGTTCACATTCAGGGTGGGATGGAGAAAGGAAACTCACAATGTGCTCACTGTATACATATTGTATTGGATGTACAATGCAGCTTGTTGCTGGGTAGGTAGCATGGTAATAAGCGTTGAGTAGAGAGAGCTGGGTGGTGAGGGTGCCCAGAGTGAGGGCACGCGGCTTGAGGGACGCCAAGGTCGCTGGCGGGAGCGGCAGCCGCACGGCTGGCGCTGAGAAGGAGGTGTTGCCTGCTGGTGGCACTGAGTAGAAAGAGGCTGGTCACAGCGGTGTCAGGCCTTATAAGGCGGGAGTAGGTGTGGGTAGATAGTTGACCCCCGCTCCGTGGGCGGCGCTGGAGGCGTAGGCTGGGGAATTCGAGAAGGTTCGGTGCTTGTAGGGGAGGAATCCACTGCAATACTCCCCTTCCCCTCCGGGCGCGGTGGGAGGCTGGAGGTTGGCAGAGTTGCGTGCCACATGTGAGGCAGAACGGGCGGTGCATGCCACATGTGAGACATAACGGCGAGGGCGTGGATGAGCCGGCCGCTAGGAGGGGGGCAACTCTGTCAAGATACACGAGATCTGTGGGAGAAA